AATCATCACATTTGAGCATGTTTTACCGGCCTTATCCCTTGGCCCAATAATCCATCCGAAAATGGCCCACATTTCAAGTCCTTACCTGATATGGTCTAGGTTGTACATAACCTGAAAATTACTTTTCACATGTTAGCACACCCCTTTTAATTGTTTTTTTCATTCTTCTTCTCTTTTAGTATACGACTTTGCACGCCCAAATTCCTCTACCAGTTATTCTTCTTCAATTCTCCTTTCAAATTCATTGCTGATAACTTATTTGGATGAAGAAGAAAAAGTAGTACATAAAGGAATTAGTTATTTGGATGCATATGAAGATCATTTTTTCCATTGGACTGGAGAGAACTATGTTTACATCATACACTAAAGTAGGTTTTTGGATCATCATACTAGAGAGAAGGTGTTGGCATTGTCCTAGTGTTATCCTTATTCCACATGTAATTTCAATCCCAATGGTTTGATTAAAAGCTAAAAAAAGAAGTCACCAGTAAAGGTCGTTCAAAGTTTAGATTTCAAAAATTGGATTTTTCGAGTTTGTTAGTTGTTTGGATTTGGTGATGTCCCAATTGATTGGAATCATCAAGAGAAGTTCAAAACTTAAATTTGAAGTGATTTGGAGTAGATTTGAGTTAAATTTCAGAAGAGACTCAGGGAAGAGGAAGAGATCGTGAAGCTCTATTGATAGGATTCATTTGTATAATAGTGTATAATATTGTATAAACACCTCTTATACACAATATTAATATATTAATTATAAGTATTTGGTGGATTTCTTACATTATCATCATCTTCATCATCATTTTCTTCTTCCTCTCATACACTTATATACATAGTGTATCATGAACATTTTCATTACTGTACTTATATATTTTAATATAATTTATACAACTATATACATAATGTATCTCTCTATACAAAAGTGTATAACATTGTATAAGCATCTCTGATGAACTTTTTATACGATTTTTACTTGCAATTCTTGTTCAAAACTAGTCCAAATCTCCATCAAATGACTTCAAACTTTGTATACACCCTCCTTAGACTATTTCTAATAAGTCTATATAACACCCCTCCAAATTTCTCATAAAATTATATTCAAAATGTAACAAGATTAACATTGAAGAAGATGAGATTTTAGGTTTCTCGCGTCTATTTTTGTATTTTTATAGCTGGGATAGGTATGTATAAACTTGAGAAAGAAGAAAAATGAAAACTCATGGATAGTTCAACCTTGAAGATCAGGAGAATAAAAATATTAAAATTTCTTTTTTCGAATCTGGGCTTATTAAAATTGGGCTACACATTTGCAAACTTATACTGGGCTAAATGTTAGCTTACAGAGTGATTTATTGTATAGTTTTTTTCTTGATTTTATTGTTCTAATCATTTTTTGTTTAATGTATTTGTTTAAGTTGGGAATAAATTTAGTTATATTACTACATTTACTTTAGGTTCAATTTCCGCTAGAAGTCTTTTAATCTTGGGAGAGACTTACATATCCTAGGGTAACTTTTGAAGAGTGCATGAAGGGCAGGTCTGGAGTGGCTCATGAGGTTACTTAATATCTTTTTTAGGATGGAAAGAATGCCCGATGAGTGAAGGTGGAGTACAATGCTTTCATTATACAATAACAAGGGTGATATTCAAAATTATAATAACTATAGGAGTATCAAGCTACTAAGCCACACTATGAAAGTGTGGGAGAGGGTGGTGGAGATGAGGATAAGGAGGGGTGTGTCTATCTCTGAGAACCAGTTCGAGATCATGTCGGAGCGTTCGGCGACATAAGCCATTCATCTTGTTAGGAGATTGGTGGACAATATAAGGAGAGGCAGCAAGACTTACATATGGTGTTCATCGATTTGGAAAAGGTATATGACAAAGTCCCAAGGAAGGTTCTGTGGAGATGCTTGGAGGCTAGAGTACATGTCGCATACACTAGAGCAATTAAGGACATATATGATTGAGCGAAGACCCGGGTGAGAGCAGTGGAGGAGAATCAGAGCACTTCCTAGTAGAGGTGGGATTGCATCAAGGATCAGAACTTAGCCCGTTTCTATTTGCTTTGCTGATGGATGAGTTGGCACGACACATTCAAGGGGAGTTATCTTGGTGCATATTATTTGCAGACGACATGACGAGACACGAGGCGGTGTTAGCGCTAGGCTGGAGGTCTGAAGGCAGATCCTAGAGTCTAAAGATTTTAAATTGAGCAGGACTAAAACAGAATACTAGGAGTGCAAGTTTGACTTGGGAGGCTGATATTGAAGTGAGGTTGGACACACAAGCCATACCGAAGAGAGAAAGTTTTAAGTATCTTGGGTCTATAAGCAATGAAATGGAGAGATAAAACATACATCGTATTAGAGCGGGATGGATGAAGTAGAGGCTTGCATTCGGCATTTTGTGCGACAAGAATGTACCACTAAGACTTAAAGGTAAGGTTTACAGAGTAGTCGATAGACCGACCATGTTGTATGAGGAGGAGTGTTGGCCAGTCAAAACCTCTCATGTTCAGAAGTTAAGAGTTGCAGAGATGATGATACTGAGATAGATGTGTGGTCATACTAGGAGGGATATGAGTAGGGATGAGGATATTCGAGATAAGGTGGGAGTGGCCTGCATAGTGGATGAGATGCGGGAAGCTAGGCTAAGATGGTTCGATCACGTGAGAAGGAGAAGTAGATGCCATGTGAAGAGGTGTGAGAGGTTGGCTATGGCGGGTTCAAGGAGAGGGCATGGTAGGCCGAAGAAATATTGGGAAGAGGTGATCAACAGTGTGAAGGTCGAAGATTAGGGTTGTAGTTTAGTTAGTAGTCGAGTATATTTTGTTCCCACACTTGTACTTTCTTCCTTAGCTATAGTACTAGTGTTACCCCTGTGTTCCTCATTTTTAGATTGGTATTTTTTACCTGAGATTCTCTTTGCTTCGTATTATTTTTCTTGATATTGTTAATATTTCGTTTGCCGTAGTTCTCTATCATAACTGCCGTGATTTTGTTGTATTAAGTCGAGGGTTTTTCGTAAACAACTTTTCTATTTTCACAAGGTAGGGGTAAGGACTGTATTCATACTATCCTCTCGAGATTCCACTTGTAAGAGTGTACTGAGTATGTTGTTATTGTTATTGAGAGACTTATATATCAATTGAAACTATAGAGAAACTGATGCTTTATTATATTGGAAAGACACAAACTTAAATGAAAAAATACAACAATCAGAATTCATGTAACCGAACCTTCAATTGATTTTAGATAATATGTGGAGTAACAACTTGTTTGGATGGTTGTTACCTGATGTATTGTATTATATTGTTACTTTAACTATGATGTTTATTTTGATTGTTACTTAAATTTTATTGTATTGTATCGTTAAATCTGTCGTTACATAAAGATAAAATGTGTCACTTTATGTAACGACTGATTTGGTGCGATTGCGTCGTTACCTTGTGTTTTTCTCATAATCTCGCCCTTAATTATTGTTAAATAATTTTATTTTATCATTTATCCTGCTTTTATACAGTAATTTTACCTCGTATTATGATTTTTCTTTATAATATTGCAAAATTATTCATCATATTGCTGGTGCGTGATATCATGAAACGATGACAAACGACACAATTTTGTCCAAACATTTTATTCATCAAACAATATAATACAATACAATATAATACGATGCGATACATTATAAAACGATATGTAACAATCATCCAAACAAGCTGTAAATTCAAAATAAACGGCACACCAAAGTATCTGATTGTATCTCTCGAAAAAAAAAAAGGTTTCTGATTGTAGTGTTGATTAACAATCTAGAGATGACTTACCTGTTGCTTTTGTCATTTGGGATAAGTGAAATTTCCGACTTCTTATAGCTCAATTCAATTATGTAGGCTGCCAATGTTTCTGATGATAGTCCAACTTTTGGAAGAAAATATAGTAACCCCNTAATTTCTTGGCTTCACCTTCGTATCATTGTGTTTCATGTAATTGTGTAGATTTCAATCAGTTACATCGCATTTGGTAAATTCCGGATAATGGGGCAATCATCTATAGTTTTTTTGGTACACCAATGGGGGTTCTCTTTTTCATGATTCCATGGCGATTCAACTCTCTATTATGGCAAATTTAGACGAAGATATGATAGGAACTATAAATACGACAAAGAATGAAATTTGGGAGTGAAATCAGAAGTTAAATAAGGGACTTTAAAAGCCGCACTGTTGCACAATTATTTCTTTATTTATTAGAAGGGGTTGTTCAAAGAATCAAAGTTAAAACATCACAAAGATTTTGGACTTGTTTTCAACGTAAACTGGATTATTTGCTAATTTCTAATGCGCTTTCTTGAGAATAATTTGAAAATAGAAAAACATTTCAAGCTAAATATTGGGATCCAAAAAATGAATTCTCATCCCTTAAGAAGTTCATGATCAGGGGCGGATTTATAGGCAAAATTATGTGGTATGTGAACCCATTTTCTCTTCGCAAAATTAGATATTTTATGTACATATTTTTTTTTAAAATTGATATAATATTAACTGTTGACACCCATGTTTCAAAAAGGCTGAATGATGCACTTGATCGAAGGTCTGCCTGCTCATTATCCGCTCCAATGACAGGTAGATGTATATTCTTTATATTTGCTAGTCATATGAAAATAATTAGGCCCAAAAGATATAAATCATAATGCCATAACAGGAAGATCTAAAAACATTATAATTAGACCCAAAAGATATAAATCATAATGCCATAGCAGGAAGATCTTAAAACATTCTTAGTACTACAACGTTCTACTATATATGTTGGTAGGAAAATGTTACTGAAAACAGGCTTTACTCTAAAATAAAAAGTATATTGCACTAGAACAAATTAGAGCTGTAATCTGCATGTCCACTTGGCACCAACCACAGCCTCAAGAAGCTTATCCTCCAATCACAAATGTAATCTTCCCGATATCCACTTTTTTTCCACATACAAATCATCTCTACCAATTCTCCTTCACATATAACAAAATAAATCCAAAAACATTCCCACATCACCATTTTAGCAGAAAAAAATAACAAAGTAGGTTTCAAGCCCAAAGAAGAAAAAGAAAAAGGGCAATAGCAGCTTTGAGAGAGATCAATGGCTTCCACACAATGCTTCTTGCACCATCATGCATTGTCAACTCCAGCTAGAACTCCCTTAGTAAGGAGTATTGTTCCATCACTCAAGCCTAACCAATTATTGGTGTGCCGTGCCCAAAAACAGTCTGCTCCCCAAGAAGATAATGTCAACAGCGTCTCTGTCTCTCGTAGATTGGCTCTCACAGTCCTCATTGGTGCTGCTGCCGTTGGTTCCAAGGTTTCCCCTGCTGATGCTGCTTATGGAGAAGCTGGTATTTTCCCCATATATCTGTATTTAGCACTCTCAGTTTCAATAATTTAACTTTAAATTTTCATTTTATCCTTAATAAAAGCTTTGACTGTTAGACAAATGCTTACTTTTACGCTTTAAGTTGTTCAACTTTTTTTCCTTTTTAAATTTCGTGCCGAGTCTACGTTACATAAATTGAAATGGAAGGAGTATTTTATCTGAATATACATTAATAGTTTAAAGAACTTATACACTATCAATGCAATTTAATTAGGTATAACATGTTATTACTATATTTTTCAAGTTACCATATCAGTTTAAGTTATAATATAGTGACTGTAAAAATCTTTTATACAGTGCAATTTAATCGGCCATATGTAGCAGATCACTACTTTATTTTGGGTGTTACGTATTATATTTGATCTAGAGATTACATGTTGTTGCGAATCAAATTAACTTCAGAGCGGCCGAGAAATATAAATGTCAATGCACTAAATATAAACTTTTAATAGAATGCACGCTGGTAAAACTATCTCCAGAGGAACGTAATTTGGTACAAATCAGAGTTCAAATGTTCCTTGTAATTATTGGAAATGCTTCTTAAGTATTGACAAAGTTGAGCGCGGTGGTTATTTAGAAATTAGTTGCGGGTGATGCATAATTAAGATGATGAACTAGCTCAGTAAATGATGTTGTTGTGAATGTGATGCAGCAAATGTTTTTGGGAAGCCAAAGACAGACACGGATTTCCAGACATACAACGGAGATGGATTCAAGCTGCAAATTCCATCAAAATGGAACCCAAACAAGGAAGTAGAGTACCCTGGTCAGGTTCTTAGATTTGAAGACAACTTTGATGCCACCAGCAATGTCATTGTCGCTATCACCCCTACTGACAAGAAGTCTATCACTGACTTTGGTTCCCCTGAACAGTTCCTCTCTCAAGTATCTAATTCTCTCTCTTTCTTTCTTTCTTTCTTTCTTTCTTTCTTTCTTTCTTTCTTTCTTTCTGACTTTACAAAGATATTAGTATCGTATAGCTACGGAGTTTAAGAAAAAATGAAGATTTTTGAAATTTGTGGTCCTAAGCAAGTCAGAAAGGGGTTCAGAGTATTTGTGTGGTTATAACTTCTCATTAAGGGTAGAATTGTAAGTTTAAGCTAAATTATTTCCAAATTTAGAAAATGATCATTCTTTTTGGAACGGACCAAAAAGGAAATAGGTTCACATAAACTGGAACGGAAGGAGTATACGGTTCCATAACCGAAACCTTACAATTGCTTTTCCGTGAACGTTTACTTGCATCACATACACAAGTGCTCTTTTAACCACACAAAAAGATCGCATATAATATGGCTCTTCCACTTGAGTTATCTTGCCCCTGGCACATGCTTTTCCATAAAAAAATTGCAGCGAAAGGTAACAACTACTATGGAAAGCAGAGAGTTTTAAGTAACTTTTCAAGTAGGAACTTTTCTAGTAAAAATAATCTCTTTTAATTCTGACTCTGAGTCAAAATATTCTACTACAAAATAGGGAGGGTATCAAAAGGCAAAAAAAGAAAAAAAAATTATTCTTCGTTGTTCTTGAAGATTGCTTTAGCAAGGCCACCCGCTACCTAGTTGCGCTCCCTATATATATGCTTCATAGTAGGTTCACCAAGTCTAGTAATGAAGAATCTCATAAGCAGCGGCGGACCTATGTTGTAAAGAGAGGAGTCACTGGTACCGGAAAAGTTCAGCAAATTTTTTGTATATATTGTATATGTCTTCAGAAAATATTGATATATTAGTAGTGGCAACCTATGTACGAAGCAGATTTTGGTTAAACGCAAAAAGTATACCTCCCCGACCTTCAAATCCTAAGTCGGCCTCTGCAGTCATAAGAACAGTATGGTTATGCATTGTTTAGAGACTCATCATTCCCTTTGTTAAGTATGCATTTTTCTCTTTGATTGACTTGAATGCAAGAATTCACTTTGCTCACAACCAATTGAGCGTTGATTTGGCTTTTCTGTGCAGGTGGACTATCTGCTAGGAAGACAAGCTTACTCTGGCAAAACTGATTCAGAGGTGAGACTAAAGTTCTTTCCATATATAATAATGTGCTAGAATTATCGGATATGTAGGCTAAATTAAGCATCACCTGAAGTTGTATATTGTGATACAAATGCAGGGTGGATTTGAATCAGATGCAGTGGCAATTGCAAACGTATTGGAGACATCTAGTGCAGAAGTGGGAGGGAAACCGTATTACTACTTGTCTGTATTGACAAGAACTGCTGATGGAAATGAAGGTGGGAAGCACCAGTTGATCACAGCCACAGTAAATGATGGCAAACTTTATATTTGCAAAGCACAAGCTGGTGACAAGAGATGGTTCAAGGGAGCTAAAAAGTTTGTGGAGAATACTGCCACTTCTTTCAGTCTTGCTTAAGAATGTAAGCATAGGGTGCTGAATATGAGTTGTGCTTTTTATGCACTCTGCAAAATTTTCAGAGATGTTAATATTGTTGGAGGAAGCTAATGTACTAATTTCATGTTTCCTTGTCGATCACACTTGCTGAACTTTTACTACCATCTCCTACTTTCCCAAAATTTTATAGAATTTTTACCTAACTATGCTAAATTATAAACTTATTTACTCAATCATACAAATCTATATATATATATAAAGCTGTGCAATCAAAGAGCTTATGTGGCAGGCCTCACAAGCCAGAAAATCTATTTTCCAATTTTCTCAGATTTTAGCCATTTTCGATCTTTCTCTTCCTTCAAAATCTACCACGTCTCTTAAATTCTGAAACGGTCCAATAATTCATTTGTAACTGTTCACTCATTCTCTTCAACTTCTCGCATCTCTTTGTATTCTAACCAACTCGCACCTCTACATGTACTGATGAATTTCGACGGATTCTATTGTTCTTTCTATTCTATTCTATTCTTTTTTCTTCCTTCTTTCTCTAGCTCTTTCTCTCTTCCTGATTTTGAAATTTCGTTGTCCTATTCTTGCAGATATTTACTAATGTAAATTTGCTACCAAGTCAAGGTAATTATGCATTACAGTGATTTTAGTTGTTACTTAAAATTTTATCATAACAACTTCAATGAAAATTTATGATTGTGTAAATTTCTACTGATGATTTTTGCTTTTTACGGAAGTTGGTAAGATTCTTTAGGATATAGTATCCTTTTCAGAACTCAAAAAATTCTTTTATATATGTACATTACTATGACTCTATATAAGTAAGGAAGTAATAGCAATTTGGATCTCAATGTGATCTTTCCCTCTAGCTACTTCTACCTATTAACGATTTATTCTTTCCATGTTATTACTGCTTATTGACAATGTTATCCCTTTCTTAAGAAAAGAGGTTTATGATTTGTTTATTGCCATGCTATTTTTTATTTATGCCATGTTAGTTGGAACTTCTCTCTTCATTTTCGTTGCATTGTATTTACCAGGAAATTGAATCTCATTTCTAATTTTATGCTCTGATGGAGTACGCGAGAAAAGAGATTTGGTGTTTATCTTTACTTTTATTTAATTGCATTTTTTTCTCCTTTGTCCAAAAGGCCTTCACATTTTTTTTCTTTTCAAAAACAATATTGAATAGAAATACTGTGCAAGTTAATTTTTCAAATTCTAAGGTTTTTGTGCATTCTTACAGGTCTTGATAACACTAAATGAAAATTTTAGGTACATGAGTTCCTGCTAGGATTTTAGAGTAAGCACGTGGAGTCGGAGCATGAGATTTTCAATTAAGCTTTTACATAAGGTGACTGGGCATATTCTAAGGTCTGTTTCCTTTTGTTGCTTAGCTTTATCAGATAAACTTTGTTGTTGTTATCAAATATAATTTGCTGCTAGGATAAGATGTCAAGGTTTTTTCATATACTGGTATATATAAAAGAGAGAATGAAAAAGCTGAGGTGGCACAGTTCATATGAGCATTGCCATTTATCCTTTTTCCTATTTTTTCCAGCATTTTCCCTATTTTTTTTCCATTTATTGGTTTTATTATGATTGAATTAACAACATTCATTTAAGATTGCTATTTATGTTTCTGAAAAGTCATGCTTTCGAAATTCGAAAGAGTGAAACTGTTGCACTACTAAATTAAAAAAAACGGTTGCAATTTCAAAAGACACCAACCTAGGTATCGGTAAGGTTACTACACATTATTTCACTATTTATTACACATTAATGCAGAATTTTCTTACAACTCTTGAGGTTATTTAATTTGATGTTTATGGAAGACAAGAATTATGCTTTTCATATCCCACACTCCTAAAATTTCCTTTGCCTTTCCTTACTTGTAAATCCATTTTTACGTAATGCAAATAATATACCTCTGAAAAGATTCAATTCTTCCAAGGCTATTATTCTTGCCATAAATTTATCTCTCTAGGTAAACTGGATGGCTTGATCAGAGGGTTATCTCCATTCCAGCATTCTATTGTAGTTTTCTTAGTGAAAGAAGAATATATGGCTATATAAGGGAAGTGATGATAAAGTTGTGGAAAATGAAAAATGATCCAACCTTCTAAAGAATTTCATGCTATTTTTAATCATTAAAGTAAGCACTGTATTTGAAAGTGGTTCTGAAGTGGCTAGCTAGCCCAAGAATAGTTGGGGCACTCTACATGGGTGTGTTTCGGTACTCCAAAATGATCATTATGTGTTGCCATTTCATCACATGGTACATTGGTATATTTAACTCTATTTTTGGTATCTTTAATAATTTGAAGGGGGGAAAATATGATTACTTTGATCTTAGTTAAAATAGGTGTTACTAACTTCTAATATTGGTGTCATCAATATATCTCATCGGCTTGACCGTAAAACAAGAAATTCCAGATGAACTCACAAATCTAGGTATCCTAATCATTTGTGTTTTCTCTTTATCTTCGAAAACATCGAATTTGTTAATTATGCTCCGTTGTTTTTGTCCCTTTTCAGGTTTAATCAGTTTTTTTTTGTATATAATCATCATTCCATGTCACAATCTCTGTAAGCAAGGCAAATAACTCTTTCCATGTGGATTCTCAAGAAACTAAACCAAAAATAGATTTCCATTCTCTTTTTTCCTACAATGAAGTTCAATCATGAGTATTTCATGGATTCGTTTTCAGTGATTTACCCTATGAGATAGCACGGTTAATTCGTGATTTTAGATGAAAAAGCCATAACAATAGAATATAAAGGGGAACAGAAGGATACGGGTAGTTACTTTTGCAATCATAGAGACAAAGTTATTGATTTGGGTTGCTGGAATTGGAACAAGGGAAGAAAATAGTATAGAGATATATAAAGAAATTATTAGAAACTCAGAAATTTAGTCCTACCAATAACATGATACATTTAATTGATTTTTTTTCTTTTTCTATTTCTTTTGTTTTGGTTTCCTTTCCTTTTTAGTTTATTCTTTTATTTTTATTTGAGAGAACTTAAAGAGTTTATTACCTTGCTTCCGAACAAAATTCTAAAATAAAAACCCTTACAAGAAGAAGAAGAATAAGAACCGGATGTATCTTATGATTATCTCCCCAAATTTTTACTATTCTTTTCTCTTTTTTATTATTTTTTTGTTTTTATTCTTCATGTTTACATATACTGATTTAAATGGGCCGGGCTATTTCAACTTTCATATTTAACTTGGATTACAATTTGACGTGTTATTTCTGACAAAGAATTTTAAGTAAATATTTAAAAGAATCCAAAAAGATGATAGTTTCCTTAAATAGTTTTTGCTCGGTAAAGATTGAGTTTTTTATTAAAAATTATACTGTATATATTAATATTTATCATATTTATCGCGCGAAGCGCGGATAATTACACTAGTTAATAATAATTGAGTGCCCCTTAATAATAGGGCATTTAATTGGTAATAACCGGTACATACACCTAGTCGCCTACCGTTACTCATCCTATCCACGTCGGTCATCCACGTACGCCTAATCGGTTGTTTAAGCAACTCAATCAATTGTTTAAAGCAACTCAATCAATTGTTTAAACAATTATTGAAGTTGTTTAAACAACTCAATCACTTATTTAGTTCAATTACTTTTTGACCTCATCCGTACGTGTTTTCTGCGTATTTTTTTTCTGAAACAGAAGATATTATTATTGATGCGTGCTGGTTACAGATATTAAAAGGTAATAAACAGTTGGAAGGAGTCTCGTCCTCAAGAATATATAATATTGTATCCAATTAGTTTTGATAATTAGCAAAACATAGTAAGAGTTAAATTATAAAAGCTCTAGATAGGCGGATCTAGGAACTATAATTAGCGAGCGCGGTACTGGTATGTTTTATGATACATACATGTAAAACATATATACGTATATATCTTGCTACCTAATCAAGGCATAGTTAAGTTGATTTCAATACCAAAAAATTCTCAATTTATTTGAAAGACATGTTTATGATATAAGATGGCAAAAGGCCTTGACAAAAAGCATGAGGAACCTAATGAATGTGTGACATTTTTTCACACCGACATTTGTGAGTCAGATAATTAACAATACTTATGTGAGTTTTAAGCATAAAACAGAAAAGGGAATATTAAAGTCCACATTTTTCCTTAATTAAAATGCTTAACTAGAAACAAAAAATAAAAAACTGAAAGGAATTACAAAGGGGTTTATTTATTTTGTAAGTCGTATAATCAACACTACTTATGTGAGACTATTTATTACTCTCTCCGTTTCAAAAAGATTATCTTAGTTTGACTTGATATAAACTTTAAAAAAAAAAGAATTTTTTTTGAGATACGTCATCTTAAATGAGCCATAATCATTTGTGTTAAGGGTGCACATGAGCCGGATTGGTTTGATTTAGAAAAACCAAACCAAACCAACTATATCGGTTTGGATTGATTCGGTTTTGTCGATTTTATCGGTTTTTTGAAATTTTTTGTTACATGAATATTATTTCAATCTTACTTTGTTAAAGTTATAGATAAAGTTTTGATAAGTGAATATATATTTAGTAAAAATTGAAAAACTGACAAACTTAATTTATTCATATGGGAGAATCTTTTTTAGTACACATGATAGTTATTTTCTTAATCATCTAACAATAATTTTTCATTGATGTGTGCTTTCAAGGTTAATCGAATTTAATAATTAAACATAAAAATCAATATGAAACCTAAATAATAATATGTTCTATTTAATTTTTAAATTACCGATAATATATCATTTCAAATTCGAAAAAGATATAAGAGTTTAATAGATCTTGACATATGAATATAGAAGAACAAAGAAATTGACGCATTTCAATAAGACTTGATAAGATAGTAATGATATAAACTATTTGTTAGATGGTTAATATAATTGTAAATAAGTGTAGTCCTACGTGGAATACGATTAGTGTATGTATTGTGTATTGTTCTAAATAGGGGTTCTTGTATTATAGTTAAACACATCAATAATAATATATTCTTTTTCGTGCTTTCTCACATGGTATCAGAGTGATAAAGGGTGAAAAGTACAAGTTTTGAGTGTGTTTTATATTAATTCTTGTGTAAGTTGCGAGAGTTCGCACTATTTTTGAAGTAAAAAATGCACATTACGTGTTTCTTATGTGTAGAAATGAACTTTCATGGAAAATGATCAAATAGAGAAAAATTGACGAGAGAAAAGCTGAAGACAGTAATCTGGGTCACCAGACCGAGACTGGAGCAGAAAAAATCAGCTTCTCCAATTCGAGTCAGGAGAAGCCAAACTCACCCCAGCTGAACTTTAAATCATATAAATATGATAGTTAATCACTTTTTGAAGGGAGAGAACATTAGGGATGTCACGACCCGGAATCCCAACTTCGGGGTCATGATGGCGCCTAACATCTACTTGATAGGCAAGCTGACGTGAAACAAATTTTTTTTACTGATTTTAACCATTTATAACAAGATATTAACAATGAAAACGATATAAGTCTGAAGTATAGTAAAATAATACTGAACAACGAAGTCTAAACATAATCCAGAAACTGACGTCACGAGTACATGAACATCTAGAGTGCTACAAACATGGTTTGAAATAATTACATTGTTTTGGAAATCAATAAAATAGTAAAGGAAGGGAGGAAGGGGACTCTAGGGCTGCGGACGACGTGCAACTGCACCTCAAGTCTCCATCAGCGACTGAATCAGAGCAAAAGCTACTGAACGCCGCAAGGACCAACTCCGGTATCTGCACAAGAAGTGCAGAGTGTAGTATGAGTACAATCGACCCCATATACTTTGTAATTGTCGAGCCTAACCTCGACGAGATAATGACAAGGCTAAAGTGGGCCACTTACATTAACCTGTACGTGGTAATAATAATAATAACAGGAAAGGAAAAGTAGGAAATATAAGTAAAGCAATTAGTTAGTGAAAATGAACTCGAACCTCACTATTAAAAAGTCCAGAATAACAAGTCTCGTAGTCTCATATAAAAATGCTGAAACCAACACAACAAAATCAATAAGTACAATACACGCAGTCCGTTGTGATGTGCAACTCGATCCCACCATACCATCCTTTATCAATATCAAGTACCATGTATACATTCCATTGCGGCGTACACCTGATCCCACTATATCATTATTTATCAACATCAAGTACTACATATACAATCTGTTGCGGCGCAAAATTCGATCCCACCATATCATCATTTATCAACATCAAGTATCCACCCTTATTTCACCATTTCAATTCACTATCTCTCAATTTCCATCGCGGCGTGCAACCCGATCCCCAAATAATTGCAATTAACAAAATAATTCAATAACTCAATTGACAAGAATTTCTACATCAAAGAGTAAAAGTATAAGACAATAAAGGACTACATAATAATCAAAGAATCTTTAAAAATCGAAGTTTCTACTTTACAAGTTCATCGATGTCTAACACACTCAACGACTCACGCAAATGAAACTACTTCTTAGAATGCAACAATATTACCAAAAATAA